CTGGAAGCCTCAGGTCTTGAAACCCTTACTCGAATATGAGTTCCATCTATGGTGTATAGATAATCATATTTCAAAAAATAAAAGTATAAATAAAGATAGTTTCATTCATATAATTTGTAAAAATATAAATACAATCATTGTGTCTGTTATCCTAAATTACAAGTAAAATTGACTATTATTGAAGATACGATCCCCCGGCTTAATTAAAAACTCTTACTTCAATGTTAAAATTACATCTAACACATAAAAATGTATGCTAACCATCAATATTGACAGAAGAAAAATAAGAAAAATGACACACTATGATTTTTCACATTATTCCCAATGATGTGTAAAAAATTAACAACATGCTCCTCCGATATGAAACCTCTAAGGTTAATCATAATATTTTAATCTGTAAAAAACTAAAATTATATTTTGTCATTAGAATATATATATAAAGGTACATCAATATGACAGAATTACTTAGCATTTCAATAACTGATTTAGCAAAATTTATTGATGAAAAATTAGAATTGCTATGGAAAATATTATTTACCCTAATCAAATTCAGGTCTTCTAGACATTCTACACATATATATAGAATATGAATTCATATAATTTGATTATACATAAGTTTTTCTGTAAATTTCTTCATCTTTGTGCCTAAAGTTAATTTATGATTTTCTTTTATCTTTTTTTTTTTTTAATTTTTTTCATTGTTTCATATGATTTTTTATTTATTTATTGGTTGTTTATCTTTTATTGTTTAATTCTCCACCTAAAGAAGCAATTAAAAAAAAATAGACAGATGGAATAGGATATTATCATTGGTGGGAACAGAAAGACATACCGATGATGACTGCAGAAACTGGATGAGGAAGACACCAATGAATTTAACCACGATCAAGTTGGTATGGATACAAAGGTCTAGACCTAGACCAAGCTATTTATGCAAGGCATTTGTAGCCCCTCCATGCATGCAACAGTCATCACCATTTTCAAATGGTGCAGTCTCTGTATGGTTGTGTGGTGGTGACATATGGCTTATGCTTAATTTTTTCAAGCACTTGTCTTGTCTTGCCTGCTACTCAAACAACTTATATCACATTCAACAAAACAAAAACCAATGCTATTTTACTTTTTTACTTTGACAGATATAACTGTTTTTAAAAAGTAAGTATATATTTATGATTAAATATTTTCACAGATGTCTACTATATTTTTAACACATCTTATATGTTCAATTCAAATTTGAGAAATATTTGTGCAATGCATCAAAATTACTAGTTATTGTAAAAGTTGCATTCAATTTTTCTTATGGTTAAATATAAGTGGCTACTTTTTCCCTTCCCACGTATAATAGCCATATCCAATGTCTAAATTCTATTAAACTTGTCTTCAACTGAACCATCATGAAATAACAGATTATCTAAAATATAGGACAATACTATCACCAAATAGTCAATCAAGATGTCTGATAAAAACTTTAAATGATATAGGAATCTGCTAAATACTGTAGGATTTGGCAGACAGGTTGAATCTGAATATTAAAGTCAATAAGCGAACAACCTAATCCCACCGAGTCTCTCTGTAAAAAGTCCACTCAGAATTCAATTTAGTTTTGCCATCAGCAGCAACCAGATCATCACATGGTGTCTCTTGTGAAANTACTCAAACAACTTATATCACATTCAACAAAACAAAAACCAATGCTATTTTACTTTTTTACTTTGACAGATATAACTGTTTTTAAAAAGTAAGTATATATTTATGATTAAATATTTTCACAGATGTCTACTATATTTTTAACACATCTTATATGTTCAATTCAAATTTGAGAAATATCTGTGCAATGCATCAAAAGTACTAGTTATTGTAAAAGTTGCATTCAATTTTTCTTATGGTTAAATATAAGTGGCTACTTTTTCCCTTCCCACGTATAATAGCCATATCCAATGTCTAAATTCTATTAAACTTGTCTTCAACTGAACCATCATGAAATAACAGATTATCTAAAATATAGGACAATACTATCACCAAATAGTCAATCAAGATGTCTGATAAAAACTTTAAATGATATAGGAATCTGCTAAATACTGTAGGATTTGGCAGACAGGTTTAATCTGAATATTAAAGTCAATAAGCGAACAACCTAATCCCACCGAGTCTCTCTGTAAAAAGTCCACTCAGAATTCAATTTAGTTTTGCCATCAGCAGCAACCAGATCATCACATGGTGTCTCTTGTGAAATTCAGTGGACAAAAATTTCCAGTGGAGGCATGGCTCCCAGTCAGCCTCCTTAAGCACGCTCAGTATCTCTTTCACCACTATTTTGCTTCCCTCAGCTGCTCAATGGATACCATCACTGCAAAACTCATTCACATGCTCTTTAATATATTTCACAAGAGAACAGAATAAGCAACAATTTTAAGCATTAGGAGATAAAAAGAAGAATCGTATGAACTTTGGTTTTACAATCTGGTGTGACTTTATTGTTAACTCTATTTTAGATTTTTCTAAAACTGAATATGGAGTGCATATGAAAAAATCCATGTGGTCCTTAGAATGTTTGGTTTGCTTTGCACCACTTTGGCCCCTAACACCCTGAGAGATACGTGCATCAATTTAGTGCCTCAGGTCGTGGAAATTAAGACAGAATTCATCCTTCTATGCACAAAAGGCAGTATTTAGGGACTAATTTGATGTCATTTTTCTTTTAATGAGTATCTAAATTGATGTCAATTTATTTAGAGGACATGTAATCTCCAACTTTCCATAACTACATTAGTATCACTTATTTATTAAGATCAAAAGCCAAATCAATGTCATATTAATCTTTCAAGCATCAATGGTTTAAATTTTATGGACATGAAAACCCAGAGAATTGAAGATAAATGCAAGTTTAAATTAACCAAAAGATAGCATCAGTCAACATGCCTTTAAGATGGAAGATTGCAGGAATCATCTTGAAAAGAAAGCAAGATACTGTCAAAGAGCAACTAAAGGATTTGGGTATTGAACAATTTGATTTCAATATGACAGCATTCTGAAATCTCATAATATTTTAGAAAAATAAAAGATAAGTCGTAGAGGTAATGAAACTTACGTAAAACAAGCATTCCTCCAGTCATCTCTCTTCTGTAATGCATTAAAAAGATCAACAACTTTGACATCCAGTTCCTTGCATAGCTTAATACAAGCTTCTGAGTAGCTTTGGCACGATCCATTCGTTCTTACCAGCTCACTAAGAACTCCACCGATTAAGAAATGGAAATAAAAAAATAAGATTCGAACTTAGTAATTATCTGAATAAGTACGCTACAGAATTGAAAATGTGAAAGAAAAAATATCTTCAGGCTACCTAGTGTTTCCACGCACTCTTTCCTTATTGACAGGAGGACAACTGAGATAATGATCCGTATCCTTTCAGAAAGACCCTGACAGTCAATATTCTCACATTAAATTACAATTATAGAAGTTACAATCTGCTGCATTCCTGCATAACTGCAAATCATTTTTCAGATTTTTCATAGATATCCTTTTTCTTTTAGTTGTTTTCTCTTTTCATCTTTACCCGATTCATTTGATCTGGTAATATGTGGAAATGACATTATATTAAATAGAACAAGAAGCAGTCCATTTTAAAGGGTGGCCATTATTGTCCACAGACTATATTTTCTTGACACCTCTTCGTCTTAATTCTGCAACCGGCGTTCTTAAGCAAACAAAATTTCATAACTGAATACGAATGCATAGTTGATTTATGTTAATTTTATGTTATGATTGGAGGAACAGCTTTAGAAAACCAAGGATAAGCAAGATATAAAACAATGTGATGATGGCTGGTTTTCTTATCTGATTTACATTATGTTTGTCAACAAAAGGTTCTTCAATATATCAATTTATTTCCTAAACCTTCACATTTAAAAATAAATGGTGTAGCCTTCATATTGAGAAAATCAAGATTTAGAGCTCTGTATCTTGAAGTGAGGATATCAGTTTCTATTGAAAGGAAGTGTGCACTTACGAAAAAGAACCAAATGATTAACATAGCTGCAGAAGTACCTGAATATGAATCAGAATCTTTCTCATGTTTTCAATATATTCGTGAAGAGGAACATGAGGGCCTAGGCCAGATAAATGAGGGCCCATGGAATCATTACCTCCAAAATAAACTATCACAAGAGAAGGTTGGGTTGCAGCATCCTGGGAAGTCCCATAAATCAAATTATATAACGTAGGAAGGATGATAGGCTACATCAAAGGAATTATTCAAGAATGAATTGAGAGAGCATAAAGTTAGCAACATATCCCACATGGAAATCACATTAAGAACCAGAAAAGGATCATGCATTATTTCAAGAAACTGTGTTCTTTGACCCATACACCATTTTAGACTAACGCGTAAGGCAATCAAACATCAGATAAAGTGAAGAATAGCTACACGATGTGCATAATTTTGATTGAGTTCTGTCATGTGAATGGTTTCTTTTTAGGTACAATACCTTTGGTAAAACTTGATCCAGCACTTGGAGGGCACGTCGAGTGCTCCATCCGTAGTATCCTCGCAACACTATGTCAGTCTACACACAAAAAAAATTCTATCATCTTAGTATAAAAATGACCATTCTCAATAGTTCATTAGTCAAGGAAAAACAAAAAAAAAAAGGTACTTGATATGGACACACTGTGCATACTTGCATCTCTTATTTACACACACTTATGAAATATAAATGCTTGGATACATTAATTCATACCCACCCACCACCACTACCACTATCTTTTCTTTACTTTTCTTTGATTTCATTAATTCATGGATTCCCCCTCTGAGAAGGCGAATGGGAACATAAAGACAAGGCCAGAAAGATGAGGACAAAATTGTCCATCACATAAAAGAATCCAAACGCATTCATTTTTCTCTTTGTCGTCTTCGAAAACCACCAAAAGCAGGTGCACCCCCCAACCTTAACCTTTACTTCACCTGCCCCATTATTCCATCCCTTCTCTTCCCACCAAAACCCAACCCTTTCAATTCCGTTACCGTCATCTTCTCACCTCCATTTATTTAATTATTCTCTTTCTCTTTCTTTTTCTCTCCTTTCCTCCTCCTCCATCAAGCACCTCACTTTCTGTCACCCCCACACACAAATCACAAAACCCTCTTTCTCTTTCTTTTTCTCACCGATGAAGCGTCCACTTCTGTCCGCTGCCACCGTCCACCATGACGAGACCAAGATGAAGAAGGCCAAGATGGTGGTGATAGAAGATGGGGATGAGGAGGATCACGTGGAAGGATTAGGGCGTTTCGACGACAACCTGCTGTTTGAGGTTTTGAAGCACGTGGACGCGCGGACCCTAGCGATGGCAGGGTGTGTGAACAAACAGTGGCACAAGACGGCGCAGGACGAGAGGCTGTGGGAACTGATCTGCACGAAGCAGTGGGCGAACACTGGATGTGGGGAACAACAGCTACGATCCGTAGTTCTCGCTCTCGGTGGCTTCCGTCGCCTCCACGCGCTTTATCTCTTCCCTCTTTCCAAGCCTCAGACATCTTCCTCATCTTCATCATGCTCCTCCTCTCCCTGGGGCCCCACCATCCCCCAGGTCATTCGATCGAAGCCCCTACGTTTGGGCAAGGACGAGGTTCACCTCTCTCTTTCGCTTCTCTCCATTCGCTACTACGAGAAGATGAATTTCAATAACAGAACCAGATGATTCCTTATTATTCTGCTATCCATAATCTATATTCCGTAATCCATTCGATGTGTTACCTTTTCTAAACCTAATTTCGGCTTTCGGCACTTTCTTTTATTTGGTGCGATTTTTGGATTTCAGTTGCCAGATCTGCTTTTAATTCAGGCAATTAGTCTAAGCTGGATGTGTTTTGTAACCTGTATGTATGTACTCTGATTTGATTAATAATATAATATATATGATTATTGGAATGTATTTGTATCTCCATGATTATGACTACGACGGTGTTTTAAATTTCTTGTTTTAGGGGTTGGAAGAATAGATTAGGGTGTGGATCTGAGGGGAAAAGGGAGGATTTGGGAGTGTGCGGAACAAGAATTTGGGTGAGGTTGGGGGAATTGCCGAAAGGAGCGGAAGGATGAGTGATTGGCGGTCCTGATGGTGTTTTTTCCGAATACGCACAAGGAGACAGAGGCCGAGGTCTTCTTGTTCTGTAATAAATGTCTGCTACTGCCTATATTTTCTGGCTCTTACTTCGGCCCAATGGGTAAAGGACACACGAATGAGTTTGCATTTCTATTGCCTCTGCAAAAGTCAATTTTTTTCTTGAGGGACGATATTTGTCGCTACGGGGATCCCTATTATTTGTTTTTCCCACTGTATTTTTTCATGCTTTAGCAATATTGTAGTATTAGATCAGGGAACTGAACACGGACAGACAAGCTCTCTTGGACGAATATATTGTTTTTTCCTCCGCTTGTTCCTACCTATTGCTCTTTTCATGTTTTCAAGGGCGTTTACGTTACACTGTTTACAAAAACTCTGGCAGTAAACAAGTGAAATAGGATTCGGAATCTAAATGATGAAATCGATTTATGTTGGAGGAGTGCGATGAGACAATTTGGTCAACTAGATAACAATACTTACAGGAACAACTATTTATGTTCCTTTCTCATTAGGCATTAGGACCAGAAGCAATCCTGTGTCCGATACAGGTTAACAAAATTATTTTCGTTACAGCTAAAATTTCCAGCTGTAATAATGACCTTACGGCGTTGGTTGTGTTCGGTTGTCATTAAAAAAAGCGCAACACATGATATGATGGAAAAAACTGTGAAAGACTAAAAGGAAAATGTGTTTAATGTTGGGTCAAACATCGTTTAGATTTTTTGTTGCGACCGAGGCACAACACTTAACAACTGAAATGGGAATAATAGATAAACAATAAATGTTGTGTGAACGGAAACGAGAGGCAGAGGTATCACCCTAAATACTTTGAGAAATAGCCTGAAGGTCCCGACAGCAGCGTGCAGGACTTGCTTTGCACCGAGTTCTCGGCAAGAAAGATCCAACTAATGACTTCAATGGGATGAAGCCCAACTAATGACTTCAATGGGATGAAGCCATGGAATTCAAACGTGGAAACTTGCTCCAACAACTTAGAGTTTGTGATTACAATTTAGAAAGAAACTAGTCTCTTAAGCTGTGCGTGCGTTGTTGAACATCAAGATTACTATAAGCACAAGCCAAGCGGCTAAAAAAGAGCTATCTAATTCTCCGGTGGATATGGAGAAAGTTATCTAATTCTCAAGTGGTGGTTTTCATAACTCTTCCTTTATTGTTGGAAATTAGAGCGATTGGTATGCAGAACTCTTTTTTAACCGCTCGCAATTAGAACGTGGGTAAGGGTTCTTTGCGAACTCTTTCTTGAACATTTAGATATAGACTTAAGATATCTCTGAAAACCTTATCAACCAAAACCTTCATGGAAAAGTGCTAGTGGTAGGAAATATCATACATTACAGTGTTTTAAGTCAAATAAAACCTTAAATATGATCAAGTGTTGGAGACGCTCTTGCCGTTAAGGTGTTCAAGGTGTTATGCTCCATTCTTTATATCTTTTATAATTTTGAAGGATCCTTCCCAATTAAGCGCAAACATACCATGTGCCAACTTTTTATGAGCTTCATTGGTTTTCCTTTAAACTAGGTCTTTTACGTTAAAGCTTCTCAACTTAACCTTGGTATTGTATCTTCGTGCTATCACTTTCTTGTACGTTTCTACCTGGACGACGACCACTTCCTTTTGCTCTTATAAGTTATCCAACTTCACCCTTAGTTGTGCATCGTTAATACTTATGTCGTTTACTTGTCTTTTAAGAGAAGGTTCACTAACCTCTATGGGACACATGACATCAATACCATACGTCAAGTTGAATGGTGTTTCTCCAGTTGTACCATGCAGGGAACACTGGTAAACCCATAGAATTTCAGGTAGCTCATCTACCCAAGCTCTTTTTGCCTCTTCTAAATGTCACTTGAGCTCAGCCACTATAGATTTGTTGAGCACTTCAACTTGGTCGTTCATCTAAGGATGCTTAATAAAACTAGTAACATGCTTAATGCACAAATTATTATAGAACTCCTCCAACTTTTTGTTGATAAACTGTTAGCCATTGTCGGTAATGATCATGTGGGGAAGATCAAAGCGACATATGATCTTTCTTACGAAGGTTTGCACTTGCTAAGTTGTTATGGTCGCCAAAGGTTCTGCCTTCACCCACTTGGTAAAGTAGTCTATAGCGATAAACATAAACTTCTTTTGAGTCTGGCCGATCAGAAAAGGCCAAACAATATTCATTCCCAATTAAGCAAACGACCAAGGAGAAGATATGTTATGTAATTTTGACGATGACACTATTGTTGTATTAATATGCCCTTTGTGCGGACAATCTCACCTTCTACTTAAGCTCTTACGCCTAAAAGGCTTTTTATGACGTTCTGTTCTCAACTCGCGTTGCGAACTTCTTTCAAGGTTGGGCCTGCTAGGTGGGCTCCTCTCTTCCCGCTCAATCTTGATATATTTCTTCAGGTGATTCACTTTGATAAACTCTTCTATCTTGTCGTGTAGGGTGGTGCGCTCCTACATTGTATGTCCCATATTCTTGTGAAATAGACAATGCTTATTGTTATCAACATTTCAAGGAGTAGGCCTCTTCTAGGGAGGAGGCAACAACTTGACACTCAAAGCTTCTTTGAGGATCCTTGCCCTATTGAGATGAATATACTAATAAAAGAATGGCCCTTTGGTTGTCTCCTTGGAGTAGGTATCATACCATTTCCTGTGTGGTTTTTTATATGCCTTCTTATCACTGGACAAGGCTTCTTGTCTCATCTGTCTCCGAAAGTCCTAGATCTCTTCCACCTGCATGAACCAAGCGACTCTCTACCTCATCTTGTCCATGTTCTCTGTTGGCTTCATGCAAAGGCTATCAACGAAAGATCCAAGTCGTAAGGTCGTCATCATGTGATGCATGGTCACCTCATGACTGAGGTTTTGGATATGCCTTGCCACCTTTCCAAACCGTTCCATGAACACTTGAAGCGATTCCTTCTTTTCCTATCTAACTTTCACTAAAACAATGGACATTAAGTGTTGTGGACTACTTGTTATGAATTGTGTCCCAAACTTAGAACAAATGGCGGCAAAGCTATCAATAGATTTGAGTGGAAAAAAATTGAACTAGACCAACACTTCTCCCTTCAACGAGATGAAGAAGAGATCATTCAAGGTGTAGAATGTCATTTGATTCATGAACATTCTTAGATATTCGTCAAGAGCAATAGAGTCGTCGTACTTCTAAAAAACTAACAAGGCCTACATGTCCAACAAGGGAGTCTCCATTATTTTACTTTTTTACTTTGACAAATATAATTGCTTTTAAAAAGTAAGTATAAATTTATAATTAAATATTTTCACATATGTCTACTATATTTTTAACATTTTTTATATGTTCAATTAGAATTTGAGAAATATTTGTGCAATGCATAAAAGTTCTAGTTATTGTAAAAGTTCCATTCAATTTTACTTATGATTAAATATAAGTGGCTACTCTTTCCCTCCCCAAATATAATAGTCATATCCAATGTCTAATTCTATTAAACTTGTCTTCAACTAAACCATCATGAAATAACATATTATCTAAAATATAGGACAATACTATCACCCAATAGTCAATCAAGATGTCTGATAAAAAAAAACTTAAATAATATAGGAATCTGCTAAATACTGTTAGGATTTGGCAGACAGGTTGACTCCTGGATGGAGGTCAGAGCAAATAGATATTATTAAAGTCAATAAGCAAACAACCTAATCCCACTGAATCTCTCTGTAAAAAGTCCACTCAGAAGGATTCAATGTAGTTTTGCCATCAGCAGCAACCAGATCATATGGTGAGTCTTCTGCAAATTCAGTGGACAAAGATTTCCAGTGGAGGCATGGCTCCCAGTCAGCCTCCTTAACCACGTTCAGTATCTCTTTCACCACTATTTTGCTTCCCTCCGCTGCTAAATGGATACCGTCACTGCAAAATTCATTGAAGATGACAACAATTATAGATATTTTTTAGGTAAACTAGTCTATTTACATCATTCTCATTCACATGTTCTTTAATATATTTCACAAGAGATCAGAACAAGCAACAATTTCAAGCATAAGGAGATAAAAAGAAGAATCGGATGAACTTTGGTTTTAGCACTGGTGTGACTTTATTGTTAACTCTATTTTAGATTTTTTTAAAACTAAATATGGAGTGCATATAAATTCTAGAGAAAAAAACCCATGTGGTCCTTAGAATGTTTGGTTTACATCACTTTGGCCCCTAACTCCCTGAGAGATATGTGCATCAATTTAGTGCCTCAGGTCGTGGAAATTAAGACAGAAATCATCCTTCTATGCACAAAAGGCAGGATTTAGGGACTAATTTGATGTCATTTTTCTTTTAACGAGTATCTAAATTTATGTCAATTTATTTAGAGGACATGTAATCTCCAACTTTCCGTAACTACATTAATATCACTTATTATTAAGATCCAAAAGCCAATTCAATGTCATATTAATCTTTCAAGCATCAATGGTTTAAATTTTATGTACATGAAAGCCCAGTGAATTGAAGATAAATGCAAGTTCAAATTAACCAAAAGATAGCATCAGTCAACATGCCTTTAAGATGGAAGATTGCAGAATGATCTTGAAAAGAAAGCAAGATACCGGGAAAGAGCAACTAAAGGATTTGGGTATTAAACAATTAGATTTCTATATGACACCATTCTGAAATCTCATAATATTTTAGAAAAATAAAAGATAAGTCGTAGAGGTAATGAAACTTACGTAAAACAAACATTCCTCCAGTCATCTCTCTTCTGTAATGCATTAAAAAGATCAACAACTTTGACATCCAGTTCCTTGCATAGCTTAATACAAGCTTCTGAATAGCTTTGGCACAATTCATTCGTTCTTACCAGCTCACTAAGAACTCCACTGATTAAGAAATGGAAATAAAAAGATAAGATTGGAACTTAATAATTATCTGAATAAGTAAACTACAGAATTGAAAATGTGAAAGAAAAAATATCTTCAGGCTACCTAGTGTTTCCACGCACTTTTTCCTCATTGACAGGAGGACAACTGAGAACGATGATCCGTGTCCTTTCAGAAAGACCCTGACAGTCAAGATTCACACATTAAATTACAAGTAATAGTTTCACTTCCAAAAACGCATTTATGATCATCACAGTAGGCAAAAAACATCATGCGTAAGATCTATTTTTCTTCAGTATAGAAGTTACAATCTGCTGCATTCCTGCATAACTGCAAATCATTTTTCAGATATTTCAAAGATATCCTTTTTCTTTTAGTTGTTTTCTCTTTCATCTTTACCCGATTCATTTGACCTGGTAATATGTGGAAAAGACTATGAAATAGAACAATAAGCAGCCCATTTGAAAGGGTGGCCATTATTATCCACAGACTATATTTTCTTGACACCTCTTTGTCTTAATTCAGCAACCGGCGTTCTCAAGAAAACTAAATTTCATAACTGAATACGAATGCATAGTTGATTTATGTTAATTTTATGTTATGAGAAACATTGGAGAAACAGCTTTATAAAAACCAAGAATAGGCAAGATATAAAACAATGTGATGCTGGCTGGTTTTCTTATCTGCATTACATTATGTTTGTCAACAAAAGGTCCTTCAATATATCAATTTATTTCCTAAACCTTCACATTTTAAAAAAATGGTGTAGCCTTCATATTGAGAAATCAAGATTGTAGAGCTCTGTGTCTTGAAGTGAGCATATCAGTTTCTATTGAAAGGAAGTGTGCACTTATGAAAAAAAGAACCAAATGATTAACACAGCTGCAGAAGTACCTGAATATGAATCAGAATCTTTCTCATGTTTTCAATATATTCGTGAAGAGGAACATGAGGGCCTAGGCCAGAGAAATGAGGGCCCATGGAATCATTACCTCCAAAATAAACTATCACAAGAGAAGGTTGGGTTGCAACATCCTGGGAAGTCCCATAAATCAAATTATATAACGTAGGAAGGATAATAGACTACATCAAAGGAATTATTCAAGAATGAATTGAGAGAGCATAAAGTTAGCAACATATCCCACATGGAAATCACATCAAGAACCAGAAAAGGATCGTGCATTATTTCAAGAAACTGTGTTCTTTGACCCATACGCCATTTTAGACTAAAGCATAAGGCAATCAAACATCAGATAGTGTGAAGAATAGCTACACGATATGCATAATTTTGATTGAGTTCTGTCATGTGAATGGTTTCTTTTTAGGTACAATACCTTTGGGAAAACTTGATCCAACACTTGGAGGGCACGTCGAGAGTTCCATCCGTAGTATCCTCGCAACACTATGTCAGCCTACACAAAAAATTAAAATTGTATCATCATAGTCTAAAAATGACCATTCTGAATAGTTCATTAGTGAAGGAAAAACAAAGAAAAGGTTCTTGATATGGACACACTCGCACAGAAGAGAGTGCATACTTATATCTCCTCTTTACACACTTATGAAATATAAATGCCTGGATACAGTCTTTGCACAGGCTTTCTACTTGTAATCATCCAGAGCTTCGTTTAGGAGGCCCTTAAAAAGGGTAAAATACAAAAATTCGAATGCATGACTAGGACCAAGACAGTTGTAACCACAACGGAAGCCAACCAAAATGATTTCATTGGGCTCAATTTTGATAAACTTTTCATAAGCACGTCTAAGAAAAGAAAAGAAACGAAACGAAAAACTATAAATCAATCTTCTCACACAAGTTATCATCAACTTATGGACCTCAACAATGTTGGATGGTGTTGGACCTTTTCATAAGCTAATTTTTGGAAGTTTGTTTTAACAAACAGAGATGGTAGGTTCATTTTACTGCATTACTTCATCTTATTTCCTTCTCCTATAAGTTCAAGTAAAGAACATTGCCCGAATTGCCTCTAACAAAATGAGGGAATACTTTCAATGATGGCAATACTTAGAAGTCAATAGTGGTGCCACACTTGAATCAACAAGAATTTATGCACTGAAGTAAATTCATTGTTTGGAATATTATACTCAATTAATGAGACAAAAAAGTCAAAGATAAGTGACTAAACTGGCATCCTTTGGAGCAAATGACATGAACATTAGAAAAAAAGATACAAATTTAACCCCTCAATCTCGTTTTAATTGGCGCGCAAAGGATTATTTTTTATGCTACTTTTCATTATTGAGGGATTAAACAGTTCAATTCCTGCTGCAGTTGCGGTTTGTATTGCAGGAAATTGCAAAGAGATACAGCCACAATTGCAATGACAGACACCCAAAAACCTTAAAAGAGTTGAGGCCAAAATTTCAGAGGCAGGATTTTCATTAAAACCTTGCCTCCCATAAAGAATTTACAGAGGCATCAGATCATGTATATGTGGTCGGAATATGCACAAGAATGTAATAGCGTTTTAAATTGAAGAATTAGTAACCGCCTCTCCACAGAAAAGTGAAAAAAAAAAGTGGCACTAAGCTCGTTGAGAAAACGACGTGACATGACATATACGATATCATAGATGTGATAGAAGGATGCATGTGATGATGATGGAGTTGTAATGTGGAGCAACAATGGAAGAAAGCAGCGCTGAGAGGTAAAAGAAAAGACAATAAATGAATGCAGTTGAAGGAAGATACCTTACGAGCGTAGATGTCAGAAAGATGGGCGCCCCAACCGCCATGGCCGAAACTAAGCTGAACGATGGAAGATCCGAAGAGAACAAACTGAGGTCTGGCAGGTGCAACCATGTCTGTGAGGTTCAGATTAAGAATGAGAGAAAAAAAAAATAGAAGCGAAGGATATAAAATATGAGAAGTCGGGTATAGAAGAGAGGAGTGAGTCTTTGCACCTGTACAGGAGTGGAGGAGGGTCAAGGAAGACTTTGTATTTGTCATATTCTAAACCAAACAAATAAGAGGTTGTTTGGTTATCGTTATAAATGATTTTGTCATTTTTTTTAAAGAAAAGTATATATAATATAAAAATATATTAATGATAAAATTTTAGGATGGCAAAGAGGGAACAATACAATCCATCCCATTTACGTTCCATTGTTAAAAATAGATTGGGTTAGGCTAATTTATCAATTAAAAACGGATTAAATTTTAAATTTTATAATCTCATACAGTCTAATATTAGATTGGCGGATTAGTCTGTTTTTTTAAACCTAATAAGGTTTTATTATGAGGTCATTTTAGGCTAAAAGGATGGTTATTTGAGTTGATTTAAATCTCTGACAAAGATATATTATACATCGATTAAGTTGGATGAGATTAGGTTGAATTATATTAAATATTGAATACGTGTTAAATTATAATATATTTTTTAATGAAATTAAGTTACCAAACTGCTTCAACTAGTTGACTTGTCAAATTATTGAGTTTAACCTATTAAATTAATTCAAGGTTTTGAATTGAAAATGTTCTCAATATCAAAATCTTTGGTTTATTAAACTTTTACCAATAATTTAATTCTAATATTAAAAACAAATATTTACACATTACTTGTGATTTAAAAGAATCATGTATAACTTTTAAAGTACTGAAATATTTAGTAATTATTCATTTAAAAAGTTCTAAAATATATTTATATAATAATATATTTTTCTAAGAATATAAAATTTAATTTTATAATAAAAATTTATTTAATTATATTCTTTTGTATACTTATATATTTACTATATTACCTACTTTAAACTTTATAAATTTTAGATATTGACTAATGGTTAATTTCTAATAAAAAAATTTATTGACTCGAATTTTACGAGTTAGTAATTTATTTGGCTAAGCCTTATGATAAGATGGTTTATCAAATCAGGCGTATAATTTAAAAATTTATGAATTACATTATAAAAATTAATTAGTAACTGTTTTAGCAATAAAAAATATATATAAAATAAAAAAAAAATATGTAAATACTTTTATATTTCAAATTGACAGAGGGTAAAATGATAGAACTATAAAAATTAATAAGAGGAAGGGATTCTTTTGAAAATTAAAAGCAACCATGAATGAATTGCTGTAAATATTCAATTAATATATATATATATATATATATATATATATATATATAAATATCACAAAAACACATATTTTTAATATAAGCTAATTATTTTTAATCCATTACTTTAACAATAACGTTTTAAATACTTAGATTCCAATTATTAATTATTTTTTCAACTTTAACTTTTAATTTCTTTAATATTTTTATTCCAACTTTAAAACTTTTTACAATTGCTTAATTATTGTTTTACTAAGTGTATTATATTTTATAGTTCTCCTTTAAAAATTTTGATATCGGATAAAAATGCAATTTAATATAGGAATGAATTTTACAAAGAAAGTTTATGAAAACTTTATAATTATATTTATGATTATTTTTAGTAATGTACTTACTATCCATTTATGATCTTTACCTATGCCTAAAGGATTCTCACCAAATGCCAAGTAATTGAAGCGATGAACTATAATCGAGTTGTTAAATATTGGTACACCAAACGTCCTCAAACTCTAAAAGAAAAGAATAGTTAGGAAAAGAAAGAGGGTCCATGTGTAAAGAAATTAGGTGAAATACATATTGGAACCATTGGATGAAATGAATAGCAATCACTGCTCACCAAAATTTAGTTTTCTAAAAAAATATTTCGTAGGTTTAGGTTGGGGAGGTTCGGAATATTATGAAATGAATGGCACAATAAAAGAGACATGTAAAGGTGTGGAGTAGGTTATCCTTTATGGCTACATAAAATGACATCCTCATATCTACAAAATATGTTATAGACACTTAAGATAACGCCATGCTACTTCTCTTTAGTAACCTGCTCCATTAATCATTAGTCATCCTAAATCCAAAACTAAATCATTAGCTTTTGTGAAATCCATTAATAATTATTAATGACATCAAATTAAGTTAATCGGTTCATTTTTACTCAGAACCCCATTGTAAAACGCATCCAACACCCCTCTAAACGGACGTCAGGTGTTCAAGTTTAACGAGGATCCGAAAATTAGATTAATGAATGCAGGTTCAGCAGATGAAGCGTACGTTCGTTTGAAACAAAATAACTGATTTTCTGAAAATTCGGTGTCACACTCTCCTCGCACTATTGCCACTATTCTTCTCCAAAAAATCTTGATATCTTCATTTCTTTCCCTTCTTCTCAAACCGAACCGTCACCATTTCTCTTCTCTCTCCGATCGCCATTCATAGGCACCGTAGAAGCCTTTTGCCGGCGTCCCAAAGCTTCAGTTTGAACCGATTTGGTTTTTTGTCGAGTTTTAACGGGTAGTTCGTTCTTGTCCTTAAGTATGCCGTTCCCGTTTCTCCGTACACATGCAAAACAAGTTCTTTGTTGGCATGAGTTTCTTAGTTTCATGTTGATCCATTTTGGGGTCTATTGTTTAATTCGTGGGTTGAAGAGTCGTTGACGTTGAGGGTAGAAGGATTGTAATCAGGCGAACCGTAATCGGTTTGTGAGGACGTGTCGTTCGCCCGCCTCAGAGGTAAGGGAAGCTTATCTAATGTTAAGGATTGTATTTCGTTGCTCGTTCGTTGGAATAATGAATGTGATGGTTGGGTTGAGTGATTGAATTATATAAAGTATGGCGTAATGCTGAATGGATGTTAGGGTGGGAATGATGATGAATTAGTATGATATGCATTGGTAAAGAAGTGAGCAATTTGGATGTATGGGGAATATGGGGATTTATAAAGTGGATGAAAATTAAAGTATTGAGAAATGAGTTGAAGATAAATGATTTCGGGGGGGGATGAAAGTTCCACTATGGAAGTTGTACGTTTCGGTAACTGAACGTCCTTGACCGTTCGATGTTTCTAGTAAGCACCTGGGTTTGAAATTTGGATTCTTGTAGTTTGGAAAGAATCTAGTTAAGGAACGAGCGTCTTAGTGTGGTATACTATGCTGTGAGCGTTCGACCACCAGTAGTTACAATCTGATGTATTCATGATAAACGAACGTTATAAATGTGATGTATTTGTATATTTGTTATTATGTTAAACGCAAAATCCAATAGTATCTGTATTGATATTTAGAGCTTTTCTATTATAATTTTAGTAGTGCCGCGTGCACAACCAAGCTGTTTCGAAATGATAGTAGTGCTCGGTCTTATATACAAGCGCTTGTACTTGGTTTTATATGGTCCAAAAGAAAAATCTGATTTGATGAAAATAGTGTTCGTCCATTCTTCAGTTTGAATTTCCCTCCTACCGTTGTTCGGGTCATTGACTGACCTTAGGTGTTTGTGTGAGTGGAATTGCTTCTAAGTGACCGAGTTCTATTAAAAAACGTCTTTAACGTGTCTACATTGCATTGGTTTCGGGCCCAGACGCTCGGAAGTAACTTGACAATGTTTTGTTCTTTTGAAAAGGTTGGGTTGAGCTCGACGAGAGTCATTCATTTGAACTGTAAATTTGGCAATGTTGTAAAAGTAACGTGTCGTGGGGTCTTGTTGCTATAATTGTGACGCGGTTTTTCCTGCACCGACAGTAACCCTCTCGGTCTGTATTCTTCTGGAACGGGAAGACTTCTCCTGTCCGGTTCCCAAAGTGGTCAAGCCATTCGTTCGGAGTGAAACCTTGAACGAGTCGGTATTTGAGAGTCCCTTGAGACTCCGTTGAACAAAGTGGAATTTTATAACAAAATATTGAGAATGAAATATGGAAAGAATGAGAGATAGATGAAATGGGTTGGTGGGATTATGAACCGAGCGTTCCTGGGGAGGAACGACTCAATGATGAAATATTGAAATTTTGTAAGTAATGAATGTGTTAAGGCTAAGCTTGGCGGTTCATCCGGATGTTCCCTGAGTCCCCTGTGCCCTCATGTAGAGGGAGGGTTGTAAGTCATGTGTGGGAAACCACCAGGAGGTCCTAGTCCCGTAGGGGTAGCTTTGGCCGATAGGACTAAACCGCCTCGGGTGGCAGCTGTTGAGGGCAATCCAGTTTACTACATCACCCCCGGGTGCAACACAACGTCGTAGCCTACCAGATTTAATACAGTCTCCCCGGCCAAGTTCCAGTTCTAGTAGTAATCCTTGCTTTTAAAAATTAAAAAAAAAAACGTATTTTGAATGTAATCTTATGTTTTTTAATGTGGGAGAAATGTATGTTTTATGCTTTGAAATTCATTACATAAACTTTACCCTGTGTTTTTGTTTTTTCCCCCCTGTTATTGTGCGGGTTGTGGTACGGCCGGGGCCTTGTCCATGATACCGCAATGAGCAGCGCTGTGTGTCCCCGGGTTTTTTTTTCCTGTTCCCCCTGTGTTGTCGGGTTTAATGTCCATTGCAATGATCATTAGACTGGATTGAATTATATGTAATGTGATTTATTTTCTATTTATATAGTTTTAGACGGTATTTTTGAGATGTTACGAATTTTATTATAATTCGAAGTTTAAACTTAACAGAACATAAACAGGGTTACCAAGAAGCACAAATTACTATGAAATTGATCATCGAATATATTATCAACAAATATTTTCATTTATAACACAAATTTTAATTTATCAATTAATCATATTAACAGTTTAGTTAACAACAAAAGTATTTATAGATAATTTAAATTTTGAAATTTGTTAATAAATTTAGATTTAATGGTAACGTAATGATCTTTTAGAGTTGGGAGGACACAAATTTCACATAGAAAGTACGCTTTACCTTTTTTTTTGGGGGTGAACAATTGGTTTTCCCAAAGTAAGACCAACCAAAAATGACAAGGGGGTTATAGGCCTGTATTTTTTTTATGGGTTATGAGTTAAAATTATCCAAATTATCCTAGTAAAGTAAAGAGGTTGAAGAAATTGTTATTAATGTTAGACTCAAGCCCAAAAGATATTTTTAGAGAGGATTTAATAAATTTTGTATAAATGA